TGAAATTGAAATGTAAAAAGTTTAGCAAAGTTTTCTGAATACAAAAATGAAATCATAAATATGAAATTTAGTTATTCAAATTTTACTGCAAAAGTGCCAAATGTGTGATTTATCCAGACAGTATTCAGATGCACTCATACTGCTCAATAGTTGCGAACACATTACAAGGGCATACAATACTAGTACTGTCTCATCATATATGTAAATTAAATAAATATGAATGCTTATAATCATTAAGCTACAAACTACATACAGGATACTACAGACTGATCCAGCATCGTACTCACTGAAGACATTCTTGATATATTTTATTTTTGTCAGAGAAGATTTTATCAAATGATGCATTAGAAGTAGATTATCTTACCTTGCAAATAAATATCCCACATGATGATGTATCCTTCTGTGTCTGCCTCCCCACATCCTCCATGCACCACGTCCCCTTTCTAAGCGACTTTCCACGTATAAATGCCCTGAAGTAAATTTATACTGGCCATAAAAGCATGACATATGTCACTGACCAGCAACATTTTGCGTTATGCGCAATGCATGCATTTACTGATATAGCAGGGTGCGAAATTAGCACCGGCCCACCGGCACATGCGGGCAAATTTTTTGGAGGGCCGGTAACGTTGGCAAAACACCGGCCGTCCGAGCCGGTGGTTTCAGCCGTGTTAGCGAGTACCTACATTTTTATTTATAGCATTAATGAGCAAAGAGCCTACATTACTGTTTTACCTGAAGGATATCAAGCCATAATTTAGCAACATTTTACAAATTTGAAATCGAGAATGCAAGCGTGAAACATGACATTGACAAAAACACTTTGGACATCATTCACGATCTGCATTATAGTCTGTTCAACAGCTACTACGTGATGCCGCACACTACAACATTTCTGGGACAAGCATTTCTTTAATTATCATTGCAAGTCTTATTTTGCGTCCCTTCTGGTTCAAACAGCAAACAAAATTTGTGAGGGCTGGTAAAAAACTGCTGTTACCATTTACCAGCCCTCTGGGCCAGTGCAAAAAATCTGAATTACATGCCCTGTATAGTACATTAAATTAAAACTAGCATTCGTCACAGCAGTTTTATGTCAATGCATATTAACCACATATCATTATATACCATCAAATTACATTATAAAAATAGCATATATGTAATCACACATGTCTGCCATCATATTATTGATTATTATGATAACGATGATCAAATCTATGATTGCTTACCTCCTCTTGTTTGCCAGCATTGTCTTTTTTCTTTGTGGGTTTGAGCTATCCAATGAATCATCAACGTGTCTAACCGTTCTCCGTACAGTGTCAGCAACCTAAAAATGACAACGGACAAAGTTTTGCTTGTTCTGTTGTTGTTTTCTAGAGGTGGAGTTAAATGATTCTCTTCATATTTAGTACACAATTGGCTTGCAATGCTTTTAGAACGAAGTCAGATAACGCTTCTACCATTGTTAACAAATACATAGCACCTATGATACGAAATTATTGTTGACAGAGCAACATATAAGACTAAGTCATATTTGTACCAAGGCCACACTGGCGACAACTGAGTGTCTACTACTCATGACGATTCCGAATTCGTATCAGCTGACTCCATTTCTTATAATGCAATTCAGAAATAGCAATATAATAAACAAATACAGTGTATGCATAAGTACAGTGGCATAAAGGATACATTCACGATAAATCAGAGGTAATCGATGTAAAACGTTTTAAAATTAAAATGTCATACCCAAAGCATATCCGCTGGTAGTTTCCTACATTTACTGGCATTATCACAGTTCTGCAGTTTGACCTGCAAATGAAGATCATAACAATACAATTACTCAGTTACAAACACATGGTCGCCGGTTTAACTCCACTGAAGAACAATTTCATCTGCAGGGGTGAGGACAATGGGTGCTACTCATGTCACACACGCGAACTCATGAACATCAATCGCCCTCAATTATATATATTTTTATATGAGCCATTTAAAAAGAGATACACGTTAATTTGAAAAAGCTTAGTGCTTAGGGCCCTGGAAGCTCAGGGGTTTTAGATGCCCTCTGGTGCAATCTGAGCCTTATTTTGGAGCATTTTTGCAAAAAATTTATGACCTATATTTCAAAATAATTTGGGTTGAGTCAAGAGTAATGAGTGATGAGTCATTTTTCATTGTTCAATTTGTATACTAGTGTGAATGTGTAGTAAAATGTTATAAAGCAATGTGCAAAAAATGTAAATAAATATACTATAAGGTGAAACTATATTTCGCTATATTTTATTCGGACTGAGCACCGTTACTGAGTAGAAAATCAAATCTCGTAATAAAGGCTTTAAATTCCCAGTTTCCTTTTCCTAATTGCTGCCCAGGCATCTGCTGCCTCATGGAAAGGGAAGTCCTGAGCTGATGGGCCTTCCACAGACACCATCATAAGGGCATTTAGTGTGTTCTGATTCAGTCTTATTAGAAATAGAAGTCTAGTTAGAAGGAATCTGATGAAATAGGCTGGTTATTGTGACTTTGTGAGCTGTTTTTTATTTAAAGTGAATTGCGAAGAGCTATTATATGAGGCTCAGGACAAGTCTATGTCGGACAAGTTATTCGTTTGGCTAGCTGCCCGATTGGACAATGAAAAAAATTTCTAGTAATAATATTCCTAACATCCTTTGAGCCAGGGCGCTATCGCACGACATT